ATAAAAAAATGACTGATGGATATTGAATCAGTTTCTGAATCTAGATATTCTTTATCAAAATCTTTCAGAAAATGTTAAGTTGGGGCCCAGAAAAAAGAAATTTATGAATGAACTCCCATGTAGGAGAACAAAGGAAAGATGTCAAGGGCGGCTCAGCTGCCCTGCTCATGGGGCCCCACGGTGCCTGTTGAAAGCAGCCCAAGGAAGCTTCTGGCCAGAGGACTTTTGCTTGGCACTTAAACTACAAAGTGCAGATCTGGTAGAGGCAATTTATATTCCCAGCACAGAAAATGGAACCATTTTTAAAAAGCAATTTAAGAAATAAAATTAGTATAAAATTATGGATAAGGAAAAGAAAATTGAAGCAGAGGAAGATGTTATGAAAGCTTCATACCATGGGGCTCAGGGTACTTGCCCATGGTGGGGCAGGGTGACAGCAAGAGAACGGGATAGGTTCAAGAAAGGGCTTGCTTTTTTAAAAATTGGGATTCATTAGTTTTTCATGCTACGTAACAAAATCACCACACATTTGTCACCTTAGAAACAGCACACACGCTCATTCCCTCACAGTTTCTGAGGGTCGGGAGTCTGGGACAGCTTAGTGGGGTCCCGCCTCCCAGTGTCACAAGGATGTGATCAGTGTCAGCCGGATTGCCTTCCTTTCTGGAGCTCGGGCTTTCCTTCCAAGCTCCTGTGTGTGCTAGGAAAATTTATTTTCTGTGGTTGTAAGACTGAGGTCCCTGTTTTCTTTTTTTCATTCTCACCCAAGGATATGTTTTTATTGATTTTGAGAGAGAGAGAGAGAGAGAGACATAGATCAGTTGCCTCTCATATGTGCCCTGACCGGAAATTGAACCCATAACCTTTTGGTGCACAGAACAGCACTCCAACCAACTGAGCCACCCAGCCAGGCCACCACTGTTTTCTTGATTGCTGCTGAACCATTCTTAGCTCGTGAGGCCTTCTTTAGACCCTTGACTTATAGCCTCCTACATAGCCCTCTCATAACAGGGCAAGTTACTTCTTCAAGTTCAAAGGAGAGTCTCTCTGACCTCAGGGAGGGCCCCCTGACCTTCTTTTACAGGATTCACCTGGTTAGGTCAGGACCAGGGATAACCTTGCTTTTGGTTAACTCAAAGTCATATTAGGGGCCATAATTACATCTACAGAATTCTTTTTGCATATAACATAATTCAAATAATGTTATCATTGGAGTGATAACCCATCATATGCATAGGCCCACCCACATATGAGGGGAGGGTATTGTATAAGGGCGTAGGTGATTGGGGAATCACCTGAGAATTCTGCCTACCACTCTGCCCATTACTGAAGAATGGATTCTCCAGTATATTCTTGTTTCTTATGGTTGCTTAGAGGGTTAATTATTTTTCAGAGATTTAGGCTTCCTTCAATGTTACATTTAAATAAATAATTAATAACTAGCATCTAGTTTTAAACTTTTATAGTGTTAAGTTCTATTTTATAAGCTTTGGTTAGAATAATTGACTACACATAGATCAATACAAATCTCAGTACTTATTCTCATTGAAGTCAACTTTTAAATTGGAGTAGTCTTTTAAAAGATTGTGGAGGGATTGCACTACTGAAATATAAAGGGAGTAACTGTCTGCCTTCAATAAGCTTGTAGCCTAGTAGTGATCCTAAACAAAGGTCAAACAAAGAACTCTCCCTAAGACAAAGTAAGATTTCTGCCTTGAGAGAAATTATAGGGCTGTCATACATGTATAAGAAAGCTTTTCATTAATCAAGGTCTTCATCCTTTTAAGACACCTCTCAGACCACATGGTTGCATTTACCACAAGATAATGCTAACAGTGATGCTGCCCATTTAAAATTTACCAAGTGATATCATAGATTTTTAAGAAAATTCTAACCTCAAAATTACCTTTGCTAGGCAGGCATCATCATCTCTTCTTTTAAGTGAGGAAATAAAGTGAAATGCTAGCCCGCTCAGCGACATTCAGCAGGGAAGCAGTAGACCCCAAACTGGAACCCAGAAATGATGACTCCTCCACGTGCTTTCTTATTTATGGTTTTAATATAATATGACAAGTATTTATTTTTAAATCCTTGATTGTAGATGGAAATGCAATAATGTAGAAATAAGAAGCATGCTCCTGATTTAAAAATGACTATTTTACAGGCAATCTCAATTTATTGGTAGATTTAGAGCAAATCTCCTTCTAACAATATCAGCACAGAAGTAGTCTCACATGCCAAACCAAATGTAAACAAAGTTATTTATACTTCTTGCCTCATCTATAGTGTTTCTCAAATAAGAAATAGAATGCTTAAACTGAGAGAAGTTAGTAATAGAACCATAATTATTTGGCCGAAGTTCTAAAGGGCAATTAAAGGATGCCAAATGGATGGCCTGTTTCCTCTGTTTTGATAAGTACTCTTATAGCATTTCAAGGCATAAATGACTAATATTAGAAAAATATTTTAAATACTATAGATTTTAAATATTGTTTAATCAGAACATGATTTACATTTTACTATATTACTAGTCATTTGATTTATTGTCTTCAAATTTCACCATTTCTAAATTTAATAAATTTTTATATTGTTAAATTGAAGTTAAAATCTACATATACATGTCATTTAGAGAAATATATTTATTGGCTTGGTTTTTCCTCAATGAAGGATATATTTATAGAGTCTGGATCTGCCACTGTGGAAAGAATGGACAGAAATCCAATGGCATATACATTTAACAAGTGAGAGGAGCCACTGGGCCATTCATAGGAAGAAAAGGGCCTCATCAAAGTTTAGTTTTCTGAGTTGCCCAAGACCCACCTAGAATTGTAGCTATAAGTTATGTCTTACCAAATTAAAATCTCAAAATTACCTAATTTAGATTTACTTTCAGGATTGCTAAATGCTCCAGTACATGCTACTTAAGTAAAAGCTAATAATATTACATTGCTAATAAAATTATATTATAATTTATACAGTGATAAACTAATAGATTTTAAATATCAGCTGAAATTAATATGTGTCTTTTTAGCACCATCTCGGCTGCAAACAGGGAGACTTGAATTTTTGAAGCTGTTCTTTTGGTTCCTACTATATAAAAGGCATTGTTTGTAGATACTATAGGGAATACATAGGCGAACAAAGGCACAGTCTTCTAGCAAAGATTTACTGGGGTTCAGGGTTGAGGAGTATGCACAGTGCTGTGGGAGCTAAGAGAATGGGGAAGCTACTTTGTTGAAGAAAAAGAATAAAGAGCAGGATTTTTCCATGAAGCAGGAAATACTAAGTTGCTCTTCCAGCATGAGAGGGGATTCAGCAGAAGGCAACACCATGTGTAGTCCTTGGTGGAGAAATGACAGACATGTTTGGGGGATGGCAGGCAGGTTTGGCTGCAGGCGATGTCTCCCTGAAGCACAGAGTGAAGGTAAACCTTAGAGATCCTGATAGAACCACAGACGCCCTCGCTTTATTCTGTGTGGGTGAGGGACCTTGAAGGGTTTTGAATAAGGGAATAACAAGTCAGTGCTGTTTGGGGAAATAAGTTGGAGGGTAGGGTGTTATTTCAGTACTCCCAGCAGAGAGACTTCATTTAAAATGTGGTAGAAGGGAATGAGTATGAGAAACATTACATAATTTGCAGATTGACACAACTGATTGGACATAGAAAATCAATGAACAGGGAGGGAGGTGGATTCAAGCTTGGATGGTAACCAGAAAGATTTTCAGTTTTAGGGGAATTATGAGTTTTCTTTCAGATATTAATGATTAGGTACCTTTGGGAAAATTTGTGAATGAACATTTTCTGAGGTTCTATAGAACCACGTTTTTAAATCATAAGTTAAAATATAGCCAAAGAAATTGTTTTTTTCACCAAGCACTTTTTATTTCACCAGAACCTAGTGTAATATGAAATATATGAAGCCCTAGTTTTGAACCCATGATTTGAATATTCACGTTTGACACTAGACACATGCATACGCAAGTACGTACGCAGTTATAGACCTACATGTATGGTTTCTAGAACTTGTGTTGAAATGTAGTGTTAATACCTAAGTTATGTCTTATATTACTGTACATGTTAGCTACATCTTTTGCTCTTTCTAATTAGAATTCTTAACAAAGACAGACTTCCCCCCCTCCGAGAGATTTCAGTACCATCTTGTCTAATTGTTCCTTATGTTAAACTACCACATTATAAGCTTCTTTGGAATAATAAAATAGTAGCGCAGTTATCCTCTTAAGGAGCGCTGGGTGGTTATGTGGTTACAGCTTGGTGGCATTCTGCTGATTACAGATTGGTGTGAGAAGGGCTAACATTAAGACAGTTTCTTCTACACTGTTTCATAAAAAATTACCAGTATGTCATTTAGTAAAATGTTTATGTCATTAACAATTCAGATGTAAGGAGTTTAGTGCAGTCTACCTCAACATTACAAAGAGGACTTGTCAACTATCAATCATGTTCATAAGAGTGAGCGAATTTGTTTATACGCTATTTATTTGATCTAAATCTCTAATAAGCCTCTTCTGCTAATTGGACTTAACATTTATGTTGCTAAATGAGAAGCATTTTGGCTGCTGTATAGAATGGTAAGACCTACCCAGTGGAATAAACAACTAACATCTGTTATCTCGTCCTGCTCCAGCTTGGCTTTTGCCAGTTAAGTACATCAGCCCTGAAGTCAAGGTTATCACATATGTGAGTCTCTGGCTCACCCATGTATATGTGAAGGCATAGAAATAGCGCATCATGAGTAAAAACCAGCCAACCAAAAGCTATTAAGTACAGCTGGTCCATTTTTGTTTTAACCTTTACAAGCCCTACAACCTTAAGAAAAAACTCATAGAGGTTATGAATTTTATAATAACTATTTTATAATTAATTTTATTTCTTTCCCTTAGCATTTTGTGCCTGTAGAATTTTATGCTGATAAGTGTTAGATAAAATGTAATTGCATTTACAATACATTTACATTTATTTTCTTAAAAAAAAAAAAAAGAAGCTAAATTTAGATTTGGCTGAGCTTCGGAAAGAAAAAGAAGACTTATTAAAGAAATTGGAATCCTCATCTGAAATCACCAGTTTGGCAGAAGAAGTTTCCCAGGTAACAGTTCCACGGATACAAGTTACATCACTTGGTCCTTCAAGGAGCATGGATTTGGAAATGAAGCAATTGCAGTGTAAACTGAAGGTGACTACAATTTTTATTAAAGATGAACACATATATTAATTTATTGAATCTTTAAAGGCATGTTTAATTCTAATTTAATTCTAGTAATAATGGTAAATTATAGTATAAGTAACCCAAACATTGTTAAGACTGTGTTCAACCTCATCTCCCTGTTTTAGCCAGGTAGACTCTTATCTAGTAATTCATAATACTATTCTCTGAAAAAAGTGACAACACACTATGCTATCATAACTTCAGAGATGATGGAAGCTGAACATTGTCATTCTGCTGCATCACTCAGCTCCTCTCTGACCCGCACTCCTCCCCCCACTGAACAGAATTCCTCTCAAACGTGTAATGTGGCAACATAAGTAGAATGCTTCCCTTTACACACTAGCTGCTATTTTAATTTGGTGGTTGTTGGTTTCAGACGGGGAAGGTGGAGGGAATGAGGGGAGGGAGACGTACAGAGCAAAGGTGGGTTGGTTTAATAGGTTTAAGTAAGTTAAACCTGAGAGTGAGAATAAAAAGCAATGTTTCTTTTGTTTATAAAGAATTGTATCTAAGTCGAGGTGAAACTGTCAACAACTTAAAAGTAAGGCTGACCTTAGTTTAAATATTATTATCTTGTAAGAAACAGGATTTCTGAGTTTTAATCGGAAAGTTCATTTTCATGCTTCTTAAAAAACTCATTTATTCCTAACATTTAATTATTTTCATCAGTAGGAGTTGCTAGCTGGAAGCTAAAGGGACAGTGTATATGGGACCATCACTATAATGAGAAGCGCTAGAAAGAAAGTTCTGGTTGGAAATGCATAGCGTGTGTTAGAAGTGGAGTGACCACGACTGTTAAGAGGGTATTAGAATATTGAATTGTTAAATAGCTCAGTTGTTCTCAATTAAAATATGATATGTGCACTCTCCCATAATATCTTTAAATGAACAGTTACTAATAAGATAAGATTAAGTTTAAAGTAAGTGGATGTACAATTGCTTGAAAATATTTTGCTTTATTAATAGTAGTCATGTATTCACACTGGCATTAGTTTAGATGCTTGTTGAATACCAGCTTCTTCAGACAGTGTTTATGTGCAGAATTTGCCTCAACCACTACATCTTATAAGTGTAAATACCTTACATAATAGTTTTACGCTTTGGTGCATGTATCTTCTCTTAAAGTGCGTTTCTGTGTCTGAAAAGGTGGAATAAAATGCATGCGTAGAACATTTCCGTGTTTAAGTTTCTGCGCAGTGGATAAAAGCACTGAGACGTTCCTTGATCTTACCTATGACAGATCTTTAATTCACTGCTCTGCGATTCTCTTAGGTTTGTCTTCATGGTCCCAACATAACTTTAGTTTCTGCCAAAATAAAATAGAATGTTAGGTCTAGTAATGCTTAATCTGACTTCTAAAAATTTTTAAATTGTTAATAGTTTTCAGTTTATTTATATTTTACTTATTTAATTTTACTTCCTACTAAGGGTCTAACATAATTGGGGTAATAATAGGCCCATGTGAATATCTGTATTATTAGCATTATAGTTTCCCATGATGTAAGTTTTTACCCACCTATAAATTTCTCTCTCACTTTGGAGGAATGTGTGAGTTACAAAGGTGAGACTAATGAGAATGCCTACAGCAATTTAGACCATGCTTGGTAAGTTTGAAGTGACATTGTCCACATCCAGCCTGGAGTCCCAGAACACTGATCAGGCTGCATAGAGACAGAAAGGATAAATCTTTACTTTGGTCTTGTTTCAAGTTTCAATATGGAAATACTGTATTCTGAAAGACCAGGTTCCTCTAAATACATAACACTCTCTGCTACTACAAATTTCTGTTTCAATATTGCATTAGTTTGCTAGGGCTGCCATAACAAAATACAGCAGACTGGGTGGCTTAAAGAATAAAAAATTATTTTCTTATAGTCTTGGAGTCTAAAAGCCCAAGATCAAGGTATGAAAAGGTTTGTTTTTTCTGAGGAAGACGGCCACGTTCTTGCTGTGCCCTCACACGGTTGTATCTCAGTCTGTGTGGTCCGTGTCCTAGTCTCGTCTTCCAAGGACAGCAGTCATGTTGGGTTGAGACCCGCCCATATTTCCTCATTGTACCTTAATTACCTCTCTAAAGGCCCTGTCCAAAGACAGCCGCATTCTGAGGTACCGGGGGTTGGGACTTCAACATACGAATTTTGAGAGGACATAGTTCAGCCCATAATAGGTGTCAAATTGCTAACAAGATTTTCCAAGAAATGACTTATTTTCTAGCTGATGATTTTATGCTCAAGAAAAACTGGTTCGATTTGAATCTATTATAGGTCTACATAGATCTTTTTTATTTTATCCAATTAATTTTAGACTTTTCTATGTAAATTCTTAGGCCTACTTCTCAGATGTATGTGGTTCATTCAATAATTAGAGCACTCATGCATTTTTGGTTTACCCCATATTAGACATGTTTCTTCAAGGTACCCAACTTTATGTAGATAGAAAATAAAATATTTAGAGACCTATAAATTCCTTCCAGTTACAGTATTTATATTTAGTTTAATGTGCGGTTCTTTATGCAATCTGGATTGAGTAGTACTCCAATTTATGTTTGTGATTCTTCAGCTTCCTAATTGTTGAGAGCATTCCTTTTGGTGCACACTGTGTTCTCTTCCTGTCTCCTGGTAAGTTAATAGTGAAGAATAGTAGTTTTTCAACTACTGTTCCTTTATATACAATTTATTTCCAGGCTGGTTCAAAGTCCTTTACAAACATCATTAACTCATTTAATCCTCATTTCAACCCTATGAAATAAGTTTTATTTTTATAAGTTTTATTATAAGTTCTGTTTTATGTTTGAAAAAACTGAGACACAGAGAGAATAAATGACTTGTCCAAGGCATCACAGCTACTAAGTGACAGCTGAGCTTAGAACTCAAGCCATCTGGCTCCAGAGTCCATGCTCTTGCTCATTACACTCTGAAAATGTACAAACATATATTTAATAAACTTAGGAAAGCTCTAACCAGGATGGATTCTCACCATTGTGACTTTTTGAAGTACGCATTTTACCCCAGATTTTGTCATGCTGCAGATAAATGTTATATAGCCGGAAATGGAAAAGGGTCAGAGGGCCTAGGTTTTGATCACTCTTTGTCCATTAACTTCTTGTAGAACCTGGCTGAGGAAATTACTTAACTTCTCCAGAGGTTTAAAGCAGGGATACCTTTCTATCCACTTAATAAGGACTTTTGAGGATCAAATGAAGTAGCTGTGAGATTTAGAGATCTTGGCAAAAGTATATATCAAGCTGGCATTGTTTCACTTATTATAATTCAGTAATCCCTCAATTATCCAGAAGTCAGAGTTACAGCAGTTGAGCCACCTAAAATAGCAGACTTAAGTCTAAAACTGGAAACAAATCAAACAGCTATCTTAAAATCCACATAATTTATTCCACTGAAGATGTTGTCAGGCTTCATTTACTGCCTGTTGTCTTTTATTTTAAATGCAGCTCTCATAAGTTTACTTCTCAGCAAAAAACACCTCAGAAACAGCAAATTAGAGGAATACATATTAAAGGGCTGGATGGTTGTTTTTAGGCAGGAATATTGACAGAAGCAAGAAATTATGACAGAGAGAAAAAGGAAATATAAATATATTATGGTAAAAATGCAAAATTGTAAAATAGCAGCAGTCTAAGACCATTTAGAATAGGGGTAAGTAGCCATTTATATCATAATAGTTTTTAAAGGCATCACTATATAATGATTTAGTGGTAATATAATAGATATAATAATGTGACATATAATTAATATAGTCATATCTATAAGATAGTATCACTATAATAAAGGTTTAGTATTAGCTTAATGTAATTATGGATGTACATATTTCTAAATGAATGAACAATCACTCCAGAGAGAATTTAAGATTAATGATTAAAGCAGGGGCTTCAATTATCTGGTAAATTCACTAGTGTGGAACATCTTCTATCAATTCTAGAAATAAGACACTACTCATCACTGTAAACATGTAAAATATGGTGGACATTTAGATTGCATTACACAAATATTTAATCAAAACTTTTAATACTCAGTACAATTGCCATATTGAGGTAGCCTTGGGCTTTTAAGAAAATTAATATAATATTAAATATAAAAATTAAAACAACAGTTTATTATTTCTTATGATCCAGGGGGTTGACTGTAAAATTATTTCAGATTTTTTTATTTACAAATGGTATACCAGTGAGATAGTTAAAGTCTGTCTAATGAATCTGACTTATATTTACATTATGTGATTAATGGTTTCATCTTGTCAGAATTACATGTATTTTTTAGCATGAGTCAGTCAAACCTGGTAATAGTTCTAATAGAAAAAATTGATTATAGTTACCAAAAAGATTAGCAAAATAACTATTCCAAATATTTTTAAAGCTCTCATATTAATTTAATACTTTTAAATTTGGGAAATGAATTAATGTATGTCAACACTATCTTAAAAGTGGAAAAACCAAAGTATCAAAATATGTAAAAAAAACAAAAACCCAAAATATGTAAGTGATGTCTCAGATTACATGCTTACTTGGAACTTGAGTCAAAATTGAAAGTAAGGGGTCTTAATGCTCTATTTGTTACCTCTGGCTCCTAGGCTGTGCAGACAACAAATAACACAAAGCTGTTCTACTTTGAAAAACTAATAATTATGTATAAATACATTAGTTATGTCATTATTAATAAGTTCAAGTAAAGAAGTATTTGTGTTTATAACATTCTCTATCAGTTATCTATTACTGTCTAACAACTTATCCTAATATGTCACAGCTTAAAACAACAGCAATTTATTATTTCATATAATCTTCTGGGTTCCCTAATATGCTTGCATTCTTCTAAACCAAGGATTTACTTGGCCTGGAAGTTCCAAGATAGCCTCACTCGCGGGCCTGGCAGTTGGTCGGCTGGCTGTAAGCTGAGGTAACTCAGTACTCCTCCAAACGGCCTTTCCCCTGTACTCTTTGGAAGGTGATCCCAGCGCAGCATAATAAGAGGCACAGGTGCATGCTGCAAAGTCTTAGGCCCAGGACTGATACTTGTACAGTTTTATTTCTACCACATTCTTTTTGTCAGAGCAAATCACAGGTCAGCCCAGATTCAAAGGGTTGGGAGATGGATTCTACCTCTTCATGGGAAGAGCAGCAAAGAATTTGTGACCATATGGAGTCTGTTACAGGTTACTAGTAAAAGCCAGCATTAGTTTTAAGTTATCTCATTAAACCATTAAAATGCTTAATCACATGCACATTTACATTTCACAAAGACAATTCATATCTCCGGTAAATGTATTTTGGGTGTGTACTCTTTACAATTGTGGTTATGGTTGTGTACCTCTATGGTTTGGGCATGTCATATAAAACTTTAGTACACTGTATTTTTATTATAATATATAAAATAAAGCATTTAAAGTATTTTAAGAGTTCATTTTAATTTATAACTATAATTGAAAATTTACTACTCTTCATGAGAATGACATTTTTATGCCATTGAAAGGTGTATTTGAATTTATGTGTATTTCTAATCTAGAATGCAACTAATGAACTCACTAAGCAGTCATCAAGTGTGAAGTCTCTGAAATTTGAACTCCTAGCAAAAGAAGAACACATAAAGGAAATGCATGAAAAGTATGTTTTTCATATTTTTATCCATTGTATTTGGTGCCACCTAGTGGCAGTTAACTCTATTAAACGCACCCCAAGAAACAATACCAACATGTCAAAAATTGTTTTCCTTTCTTAGTTCATGCTTAAGCCTCCTTAAAACGAAAATTTAAGGAATATTACATGTAGTGTGGTTGATAGCTGTACGGTTACTGTTTTTTAATTAGAGTAAGAATATGTAAAGTTAGATTTTCCTTCTTAGAGTAGACATTTAATTTTGAATAAATATCAACTAATGGCCTAAAGACTACGAATAGAAAACTTTAGAATGTGTTCAACCAAAGATATATGTGTAGATTGATTCTTATATTGGATATAATGCCTAAGCTTATAAATCTAAGTTGGAAAAAAGGTAAAGTTTTGTTTGTATTTAAAATAGCTGGAGGCTTATGAAAGTTTGTACTTTATGTGTTTATTAACAAAGATGTTTAAAATGTTCTATCTGACACACTCAAGATGATTTTCTTTCTATATTTTTTATAGATATGCTAGAGCTTCCAAGTGATAGCCTATTTAGGTAGAATTCCAATCTTTCATTAATAATTTAATATATAGATTTTGCACACATACATGTCTACTCTATTATATGTGAAGATCACTTAAAAGTGATATCAATAGATAAAACTATTAGAAACAAAAGATTGATTAATTTTTCAAACAGACTATCTTGAAGTTTATTTATCTATTAAAAAGCAGTCTTGCTTATTGTTTAACAGTAAGTGCTCTAAAGAAATGTTCTTTGAATCCTGGTTCCTCTACCTGCTAGCTCTGTGCCTTAATGTAATAGTATTAACTCATTAAGTTCTTACGAGGATTAAATGAGTTGGTACATGTAAAGCACTTTTAACAGTGACTGGCACGTCGTAAGTATGCAATGCATGTTAGCTATTGTTCTGATTATAGTAGTAGTAGTAGTTGTCACTGCATCTGCTATTTTATGCTTAGCATGTTATCAACTTAAGTCAAACGAATATGTCACTTCAATCTCATGCTATTAAATTAGAAGATATGTCTCATTTTAGCATCTTTACATGATATTATAACATTTTACATTTGTTTATTGTAGTACAGAATTGTTTCTTATTAGTGTTAGGCTTTTTGATGGTCTCTAAATACCACTTTGACATTTTTTAGCAATGGAAGAATATAATTTAAATATAATAATTTTGATTTTTCATAACTTTTATTGATCTTTCTCAGTTCTTTTTTGGTTTTAATGCATGTGTAATACTATAATTAGCACGTGACAACTAGGTTATAGATTTTGCAAGTATTCATAAATCTTAATAGAGTAATGTTTATCCCATGCAATTATTTTATTAATTTGCAATTTCATTAATATCAGATAGTATTTAAAAATTAACATTAGGTATAACATCAGATAAGACATTATCACTGTTAATGTATTTTCTATCACTCTTGAAAAATGCCCTTTTTTTCCTTTTAAGGATATCTCGAATGGAAAGGGATATAACCATGAAAAGACATTTGATAGAGGACTTGAAATTTCGACAGAAAGTAAATTTGGAAAGTAATGAGAGTATTAATGAAATGTTAGAAAATCTTGAAAGAAAGGTATGAACTTTTATTTTCCCTGATGCTAAAACATTACTACTCATTGTGTTTACCTTCTTAACCCAAATACTCACTCTTAATAAAATTTATAGAAAATATTCATAGAATATATGGGTGCTGTTATATAATTACATTATTTGCTCTGTAAGTACATTATTTGTTTTAAAATTCAAGATTCCAAAATCTCATACATAATTTAACACTTTTTTTATACTTATAAATATATCATGAGAAGATAATCAAGTTTAATTTTTAAATCTTTAATATTTCTGGGATACATCGTTACGTTTTATTCTGCAGCTTATTTTATTTAAACTATAATTTTTAATGATAGAATCAAGCATATATTTTAAATCAAAAAAAGTGGTAACCAATAACTATCAGAAGTTTTTAAAAAACATATTACTATAATTTTTTAAAAGTATACTTTTTCTCCTCTCTCTAAGCATGTCCTTGGGTGAGGGTTAAAAAAAAGTACACTTTTCCTTGAATGCACTTAACACAGTGTACTTAGGAAGAGAGTTGTATTTAAAATAGTTGTATAATATCTGACCCCAAAGTGGAAATCAGCAATTTGCTGACTAAGATACATATATACACACATATATATATGTTTTTAAAAGACGCTATTTGCATAGCTCATAAAGCAGCTTGTGCTTTGGCATTCACTAAATGTGAGCCACTCCAGAGAGAGCATCTCCTTTACTTCACTTGTTGGAGATAAAAATACAAGTATCTGTTAGCTCAAATGGATTTAAGAGAGAAAATTTTATACCAGCAAGGCAAATATATATGGATTTCTTTTTCTTTCTCCTCCACACACCCACATAAATTATAATTACTTCCTTGTAGGTTTTAGTACAATGTTATCCTTTAAATTTTGCTTATTTTTTAACTGTAATAATTATTTCAAATATACTAATTATATATCTTTAGCGGCATTAAATGGAAAAAGAAAAAATATTTCCTCTATTCTTTCAAATGTATAATAAATGTGTTATATCACATTTAATTTTATCCTTAAAAGTACATGTAATATTGGAGAATACAACTGAAAATTATCTATAACTTGGTTTAAGAATCAAAAGCAACCATTCCTGCTTAAGGAGGTTTAGGTTAGTAATTAAAGGAAATGCAGTTGAAATTAATATTGTATTATTAGGTAGAAGACTACACATGCCAGTGTTTATACTTCTTTGATGCAATTTTTAGTTTTCTTATTGATTTAGGGACTGTTAGTTTCATTTATAATAGTTCTACAAGTCTTATACTTGAATTTGATATCATTTCTGAGAAACCAAATGAAATTAGACTTATTCATGTATTCATTTGGTTTCTGTTGACATAAATACAGTATACTACTAGAATGCCTTCACCAATAATAATTACCTCAATGTTTTCATTACTAGGTGAAGACATTAACTGAAGAGTGTTCCAACAAGAAAGTATCAATCGATTCACTAAAGCAAAGACTTAGTGTTGCCGTTAAAGAGAAGTCACAGTATGAAGAGATGTATCAGAAAACTAAAGAGGAACTAGAAAAAAAGGTATGCTTTTAGGACATTTTCGCTTACAGATGGAATATAAAAATGTCTTTTTCATTTTTGAAGTTGTCGTTTTTGTCTCCCCCAAACTATGATGAGCTACTTAAATGTTTTAGATAAATACAAAGAACACTTTTATCTCTACAGGACACACTAAGAATCTATTTAACATTAAATGTAGTGCTACATTAGAGAAACAGATTTTGTGTCTCGGTAATTTCTTATAAATGAAAACTATTGTTAATAACTGGCACAAGTTGATATAAATTGTTTAGGTCCACCTAAATGTGCAAACTCATTTAATATCTCCATTTGATGTATGAGATTTATGATTTTTAAAAAGCATAAACTAATTTTGATGATGAATATATAAGAATATGTGCTTAGGATATTTTATTGAAAATAAAAACAACCATCAGTTTTACCCAAATAAAAATAAATACATTAGAGAGAGTCATGAAACCCTTTATCTGACGTGCGTAACTGACTCTTCCAAATCTGTTTATGAGATATTTTTATTCTATGTCTTTTGCAGGATTTCAAACTTTCTCTCCTAGTATCAAAAATAAATGAGACTGAATCTGCAATGGCAGAAATTGAAACAGCAGCATCTAAGCATCTTCAAGGATTAGCATTGCAAAGTGAGCAGGCCCTTGAAGGTGCACAGAAGAAACTGGAGATAGCCAGTGAGAAAGTGGAAGAGTTCACCTTATTTGTGAAGGTTTGAATTATTTGTGCCTTACTAACTTGTACTTTTCTTCTGGCAGGGTAGGCAGCGGCCTGCTTCAGATGATTTGGGGAATACTTTGAAGTTTCTTTCTGCTCTCCTAAACCACAAGGCATCTTCTCATCCTACTTGCCACATTGTTCAAAAATTTATCTATAAAAGATTTGTTTTTGTAGCTTGAGTTTAAAATTTTCCATTCTATTATTAATATTCTTTTCTTAATGCCAACTGAGTTGTGAAATTGTAGGAATCACGTAATCAAGGCAGGTATTAAGATGAAAGAATTAGGTAATTTCCATTGTACTGCCCTTTTGAAAATCATCCAAGCAAGAAGAATAAACAGAACCTTGTTCCTTAAAGCTAGGGGACATCTGAACCCCCATCCACATGGAATTGATAGAGGAATGGCAAATGGCTTAGCAGAACAAAAAGAGGACAAGCCCAAGTGCCTGCAAAGGGTGCCCATCCAGAAGCTGTCTGACAGCTGAAGAACCCCAGAAACACTCAGGAGTTGGCTCCACAAGGAACCACCAGAGCAGATGATGGGGGAGGGCAGATACAGGGCTAGACAGGCCGTTTGTTTGAAAGTTTATAAGGAGCTTTGAAGCCTCTGGTCTGCATTTATGCCCCACACCGTCAGGCAGTATCCCTCCCTCAACCTTCTAGAGAAACCAAGAGGAGCAGCTCTGCTTTCAGAGAAACAAGGTACTGAGAGCTAGGAATCTGGGGACTGCTCCACCCCTTTTAATCCCACTGGGAGTTGTTTACGCCTCTGTTTAGTACCATTTATTCTGACTCGTATTATATTTAGCAAACGGATCTATTGCCACTAGATAGATTCAGAGTTCCTTAAAGTCAAGGACGTGTTTTACTAATCTCTGCCTCCACAACATGTACCATAGCACCTTTCAAATAGCTGGTGCAATAATGACCACTAGCTAATCAAATTAAATTTCCGTTAGGGATGCAAAATTTTAATAATAGTCCTTTGGGCATTTAAATATAAGAGCTGAAACAGTTTGACTATAGTGAGAGAGTGTCTCTTTTCTTCCGAAATTACAATGTTCTTTGCTTTTTTTAAGCAACCTTGGATGAGATTAAGTTCCTCATACTACTTTTATCTTCAGATGGCTTGCATGATTAAAAACTAGCATATCATAGCAGTGGAAATTTACTTAAATATATAAAATATTATCAATTTATGTAATCTTTATAAAATGAAGTTAAACCTTGTCCCACTGTGGAGTAAAATAACATTACCATTGTCTTCTTTCCCAAATAACCCCACCATTATTGGATACATACAATTATACTTGCTGAATATACAGGGTGTCCCCCCAAAATGTATATACACTTTAACAGCTGATAGCTCAATTTTGAAAATGAAATGTATTTTAATAAACACTGCCTTTATAATTATTCAAAGTGTGTATATATATTTTTTAGGACACCCTATATATAATGTCTACTAAAGTATATTATTTTATATATATTATTATGTCAGTTTTCTCAAGTAATTTTTTTTCCTTTTTTGGTTTCTCTCTCCTGATAGGTTGGTAGTTTGGCATCTCTTATGCCCCAGTTGAGAAAGGCCTCTGGTCAATATATAGTAGAATTTTCTCAAGTTCCCTTATCCACTTAGGAATTGATGTTATTTATAAGAAATTATATTCCTGGGCTTATAGATTAAATGTAAGATGGCTAATAATCAGATTTTATGTATAATGATATATTCTTCATTCCTCTAAAAATAGGAGCTTACAAGATTTTATGCCAGTGTTAATAGTGCCCCAGTTAGAACAAATCCCTTACTTTGTTTCTTTGGAAATCATAAATACTATAGGAGTTTTTTATTTTAAAAGTATCTACAAAATGAATGAATTATCTCTTTTATCTCTATAATGAAGGTTTCAGCTGGTGTAAAGTCAGACCCATAATGCTTAACTCAGAGAGCCCTGAACGATTGCAGAGTATTAATTTAGTAAACGTAATATACCTTTTCCAGATCTAAAATATAATTTCTTTCCAATGCTCTTGAATAGTCTCACTGTTCAACTTATAAGTACTCTCACTGAATATTGTCAGTAATTCATGATATAAAACTGTTTTTATTATGAATTTTAGCTTCATAAACCTTTGTTTTCTTGTTTTATACTCAGCTTAGGGTTTTACTTGTTGTATTTTTAGCTAAGATGTAAAATATGAAATGCATAATTATAAGATTTATTCAAAATGCTAATCATTGTTTTCCCTGAAATATTCTTTTAATCTGCCCTTTAAAAAAAAAAAAAAAAGAATTAATAACCATCAGTTCTTAAAATAGAAGAATGAATTTTATGATTTGAAGTTTTTGACCTTCATGATAATGTCATGGGTGCTCTTCACATACGTAATTCAGCAAAAATTATTTTTAAAAACCAATTTTTTAATTTATGTCCAAGGATATGAATATTTAATGAATAATATTTAATGATAAAATCTCTAGTTGTTCAAGAGTAACATACTGGTCCTTTGCACTTTTTGGCAACAGATAGTATAGAGTGTATGTACAGATGTCTTAATAGGTACAGTCAAGATTGCTGTAGTTTCGTGGCTTATTAATTTCTTATGTATTAAAGGTAACAGACATGGATAAACTGGTATAAACTGGTTTTAGCACTCTTTAGGAACTTTTCCACTATATTTCAATTTGGTATTTAGATTACCTACATTAGAATCATCTGATTTTATTGCATCTAAATAGAATGCATAACATTGGGCCCCCCCCAAATTTGTTGAATCAAAGTCTCAGTTGGAGTGGGGCCCAATAATCTGCATTTAACAAATTAACTGATTATTATGCATAATAATACAGTTTTTAAAACACTGTCTTACATTGTTTTTATGAATGTAATCTATATAACAAAATACATATCAGTTTGGTATTTAATAACACCCCTTACCACTCATGGCTTCTAGTGGTAATTTGACATTTGTTTTTCTTAACTGTGTATTTAGGGCCAATGCATATTTGATACTGCCACTAGTTTGGCTGCTTAATCCATTTTTCTAATAAGGAGCCACCAGCAACTTAATATCAAAACCAGAAACGCTGGCAGAGGCTGGATATTTTGTTCTGAGGAATGAGGTGATATCATTCTTCTCTTCCTTGCACCTAAGGCCCTAGGACTAGTAGACATGCTGAGGCAACATGCCATCAGTGGCTTTCTAAATCCTACTGCATTACATCTAAGCTTAAACCTTATTTAAAATTTGAGACCTTTCATAATTTGGCCCTATCCTGCTTAGATTCTAATATTCTTTCCCACTGCTCTCAACTTTCACCCATATTGTGCTCATTGCTGCCTTTGCTCAACTTCTGCTTCTTTCTGGACATACATTTCCTTCTTTGCTCTTTGCTCTAAATCCTTCATATTTAGTTCAGTGCCTTCCTCTTCTCTGAATCCTTTCTTTAACTTTGTAGTTAAGAGGTAAGAGCCCTACTCTGCCAGTTACTAGCTATATTACTGCAGGCAAGTGACTTAATCCTCTGCTCCCCAGTTTCCCCATTTATGGAATGAGTGTAGTAATGGAACATACCTGAGATGAGCATTTACAGAAGTTAATATGGATGAAAAAGCATTGCCCAATATACCAGAAGTGCTATCTAAGCGTCAGCTAGTGGTAGTGGTGCCAGTAGTAGTAGTAGTAGTAGTATGGCTCTCATTTATCTCCTGAATATTTATTTTACGCAACACATAAATTAACATGTAACTGTGAACTCTTGTATTTTTCTTTTTGTTTCAAGTAGATTATAGCCAACGTGGGAGCAGAGACATTGAAATTCATTATCTGCAAAGAACTGACACATAACAGGACTCAATAAATTCTTGAGGAATTGATTTTATATCTGCTTCAAGAATGGCACTGGACAAGTGTACCAATCACTGCTCAGCTTGAAAACTCTGTGGAGGCTAGAGCTGTGCACATTCTCTAATGAGCATAAAGAACGTACATAGTTCCTACAGGGAACGTTATGATCACCAGGACTCATTCTATGCAGAGCTATTAGGGTGTCCTGTATACAAAAGCACTTAATAAATATTATTAGTAGTATTAATAGTAATAATGTTATTCTGGCCCTGTTGTGGAATCTGTGCTCCCTTTAGTCTTTTCATTTATTCATAGGGCACAGCAAGATTACAGAAGAGGTGGAGTGGCCATCTGTTCTAGATCTAGTCTTGAATATGGAATTTCGCCCTGGGGTAAAATCAAGTGCTTTGAGCATCTGGGCTGGATATATGTGGCAGAGTAGAGGCTTTGAATTCTCCTAATAACTGAATAAAACACACAAGGGAAATTTCTAGAAGTATTTGCTCAGTTTGATTGAGCCCTGATATAGGCTTGTTAATGGGCTTGTATGTGAAAGTCATATGCCAAATTCCGTCTTCTCAATGGTTTTTGTTAGCCGTGAAATAAATATCAGCCAAAGAACAACATTTAGCCTGGAGCCTAAATCATTTAATTATCAGTATGTACTTAGTTTGGTGAGATTTAGTGAGATGTTTTGGGCATATAAATTTCCTGCTTCTTTAGTGAGAACATTTGTGGAGCATTTATACTTTTATTTTTATATGTGCAATTATTAATACTTTGGCACACTGATCTAGTCTCTTACGATTTTTTCTGTTCTTTTTTTGCAGCTTTATTGAGATATAATTGACATGTAACATTGTTTAAGTGTAAATATACAATGTGATGATTTGATACATGTATATATTACGAAATGTTTACCACAATAAGGTTAGTTAGCACATCCTTCACCTCATGTAATTACCACTTTATTGTTGTAATTATGATGAGGACATTTAAATATACCCGCATAGCAATTTTCAAATATAGGATACAGTGTTTTTAGCTAGAGTCGCTATGCTGTATGTTAGATCCCTGGAACATACTCTCTTTATGACTGGAAGCTCATACCCTTTGACCACCGTCTCATTTCACTCACCACG